CTTTTTATATTTCTGAGGAATGCTGTCGACGATATCTATATTTCACGAGTCGGCGATTCCATTTTAATTCTAACAGGTTCCATGGTTTGCAGATGAATGGTCTGATGATGTTGTTGCAGTTGGTTTATCATCATTGCTGTACAGTTTATGGGTAATGTATCATTTTGTATTACAGAATACATATCATTATCTATAGAGTTTAATACTTTATGCATGAATCTTTAATAAACTTTGGTTTTAGAAAACGAGTGTACCAGTTCTTCAGGAACGAAAATGATTCATTCTGAGTGTTCCACATTTCTTAAAAATTCCAACAGCTTTAATGATAGCCCATCCTACCAAACCACCAAATATTTAAAGTATTGGTGTTATGAGTAATGGTAGAAACCTTCCTTCCTGTATTAGCAAGTTTCTTTTCTGTTTAACTGATGCTTTCTTGACAGACAACTCTTTCAATGATGACTTGTATCATATAAGTTTCTGCTTCTGTATGTTCATCATGGGAACATTAATCTTTAAAACATTTATAGCACATTCACAGATATGCATGATAAAATCGTTTTAAGCATAGACAGTTATTTCTGTTTATGTGTTGTTTTAGGTAATATATGGAATAACTCTTGATGTTGTTTAACTCTAAGTGTCATGATAATTAAATCAAAAGAAATTGTACATACAACATATAAAAACTGTTTATTTATACATCCATTTAGATATAACATCTACCTAATTTTTTACACTACAATTTTAAAGATTGATTAACCTTGAGGCATTCAGAAAGGAATTTTCATCAGACTTCTCAATATTTCGACTTTCTCTCTCTTCGCTTTGTGTGAATAATGTTTTCTGTCAGCAATCTAACCATATTCTACAGCTCGGGATAATAAATGTTACCGGATGGGATGAATGTATTATATCACCAATTTGCACTGATGACGATCTATATCTGGAAATATCCACTCGAAAATGATGGTTCAAACACAAACACACACACATATATACCAGTGAATAAACACTTGAATGCTAGTTCTTTAATTACATATGGTCCATCCTTCAGATAAAATCTCTCTAGTTTTATCACTGTCACAGTCGTGATAATGTACGAATATATATTTATTGAAGCATACGTTTTAACTTACTTTGTTACATACACTATATCTTTATCTGTCCTGTCCTGTCCTAAAGCACAACTATTCAAGCATTTCCAGTTTAAAACCACTGAGGAAGTAACCATGTGGTTGTCCCATTGAATCTTGATAAGCTTATTCAAAATATTTTACATGTGCTGGAAACATCTGTCTCACTAAAACTTTCAACTGAGATTTGTCTCTAACATTCTTGAACAATATAATGTACTGAGAATTTAAACTAGTATTACGCATTTCTCTACCATGATGAAATAGATTTTGTACAATATAAAACACTGATAAATTCAAATGGTGACTTTCATGTGCAAAATCTGAGACAGTAGTTTATTTTCTCTGCTTTCATTCATAAGATCATCAATGATAAAAAGATTCGGTTTATCAGACCATAACTAATCATCACATTCTTCAGGCGATCTTTTAACAAAATGAATGTTGAGAATAATTTGCATTAATTTACTATACATATCATTTTTAGTGTACCTGAAATCCGCCAACAAGATCTTGCCAATGCCCTCTTTTCAGTTCATAGCCCATGGCTTAAATCTCTACAAAGTTTCTTAGGATTTGTCACTCTTATAGGATGTTGAAAAGTACAGAATATATTTGTTATTTTACTCTTCATTGTTGAGAAGTTTAATTTATGACTATTGTATACAAGATACCTTCTATGGGGGAGAGTCAATGCAACAACACTTCTGTAGGATATAAAGGAAGGAGAATAGATCAAATACTGTAAGTATCTCGTTTGACATCCTACAATCATAACAACAAATTTCTCTAACTTAGAAAATTTTGGGGGGTTTATAAAATGTAAACTTCTAGCCCCAAAGAAACACTATCACTCAGTTTTATCTTTTAGAAGTAATAGCAAATACTTATGCAACGATGGGGAGTCATGTTGTAAAATTAAATGGTTTACCCTCATTTGTATTCCAGGTGGGAAACTATGATGTTGTTCCTAAGAAAATTTATAAAATGTGAATCATTAGTTTTCATCTTCTTAAATTCCTGTTCCCTAATCGAGTTGTTTGTCAGATTTTAACAGGGGCCACGATTTTTTACAGTAGGTATCTGTGACTTGTTGGCAATAAATTTCAACAATAAACAAACAACACACAGTCCACTTGTTTTAAAATAATCCAATTGTATCCACAGACATAAATAATCATCTCTTTTCATCAAAAGTCAACACAGGCTTGTTCAATTACTTTAGAAATTGCCCATTATGGCTAAACTTGCATGCAGCCTAACTTCAATTTTTCTCAATTTTAATTATACTAGCTTATTTATTTGCACTAACTTGATCACCTATATATATATATATATATCATATTGCCCAACTGAAGTCTAGAATTGTCTACACACTAATAGATATAATGCAATAATACTTACTTAAATTAACGAGAAATATTCAGAATATTCAAGTAACATGACCTCAATTCACAACATTTGAATTACACAACGAATGATTCGTAAACATGCAAGCAAACTTGTAATAACTGTTGCTTCTAAAAATAACTATATAAACTAAATGATACTGTCTTATCAAACTTAAAATGAACGTCTAATCTTCTGGCATATAATGCATGTAAACCATTTTTGGAAAGAATTGTCGCTGGTGATGAAGAATGGATTATATATATATGCGAATATTAAATGCCAAAAATAATGGCAGAGTCCTACAGAAAAACACTTCCGACCCCCAAACCTGGACTCCATCCACAGAAAGTGGTGCTTTGCATTTGGCTGGATTTAAAAGTAATAATTCAGTTCGAA